GGTCATAAATATTAAAAGAGAATTTTTGAGAGCTCCTAAGCTAAGCACCTGCCCCATGGTGAATATTCCACCATGGGTAACTGCTGTCATTGTTAAGAACAGCGTATAATCTATCTGATGATAGTCCACTTCCCATCCTGTGGAATTTGACTCTATTCTAATTAAATTGTCCATTCTTTTTCTTATCAGTTGCTCAGCTGTTGACCTAAAAATCTCATTTCCTAATCTATAAAAACATTTGTATCTGACATCTTTAAAATTCTGTCTCTTGTTGCTCAAGGCCATATTGTAAATTTTATCTGACTTCTATTTTGAAGGGTCCAGCGTTTGTAAAAAGCACTTATAATATTGATATTAGCATTTATTATCACTATTTTTTGTGAGGTTAAAAGCAAAATGCTATATACACATAACTAGTAAAATACACTGCAAGCTTTGGGTGAAAATATGGGTATCTTTCTTATTTTTCCAATTAATTGCTAAAGCAACTACCTGTCCTTATTTGTTGGAAGTCTGGTATTTCCTTCTTGAAGACAACTCTCTCTCCTGAATTGCCCCAAAACAACGGGCTTACTCAGGCCAAAAGGACAAGGTCTTTCCCTGAAGGCAGAGAGCAGTGGACTGTGTGATGAGTCCTCTGGCATCTTGCCTCTGTTGCTGCCACACTGGTTCCGTGTTCACACTAGTGCTGCACCATGTGAGGGATCTTTGTTTACTGTTGTCCTTGCGGTATCTGTGCCATCTGCAGTCCTCCAGGACCGTGGTGGTGCCCAGCTGTAGATTCCAAGGTGAACACTTAGTTCTGTCTCACGTTCCCACTGTGTGGTGCTGTGCCATTAGGATTAGGTCTGGAGGGGTTTGCAGCTGTAACCTCGCACTGTGCTGGATGAGCCTCCTTCCCCTGCTTCATCGTGCAGTGATCCTTTCCTTACAGTTGGAGTTGTTTCTGTATACTGCAGTCACCACGTAATACGTGCCCCAAATGTGGGATGAATACTTCCCTTAGTAGGAATAGAATCACTGTGAAGAGGATCGGTCATCCTGCAGAAGTGACGCCAGTAATTGGAAATACGTGTCTGGATTGATTCCAATCAAGAAACCTAGGGTGTAGGCTCTGGAGGGGGGGCTAGCATGGGAGGCCCAGTTTTGCAGTGCTGTGAACCATCTAAAGACTGTTAGAGGCACAGAGTATGTCTGGGACCTTTAGCCATCACTTTCCTTTGAGGGAGGGGAGCAAGTGCTCATCACTGAATTTTTCTAAATTTTCTTTTTTCTGATTACTATTTTAACTTAGAAACTTAAAATTTTTTAATCTATCATTTTTGACTGGGCCTTACATTCACGTGGTATAAAGAACCCAGTGCGTACACAGGGGATAGTGAAAATTCTCTTCTGCTGTCACCTTGACTACCTACTTCCCTTCCCTGGAAGTGTAGCCACTTACAGCCTTTGTTTATGCATCCTTTCTATCAGGCAGCTCTTTAATAAGTAAGTTGGCTCTGTAAGCCTTAGAAGGAGTCTCCTGCATAGTCAGTATGAACCTTTTAGGCATAAAAAAATAAGTCCTTTCATAAGTAAGTAAATTGACTGTCTGGTCTATATGCTTAGCTCATGTGATTTGGTTACATGAGTCACGTTTTGAGAAGCTAATCAACTCTTGAATACACTGACACGTGGTTTTGTTTTGCTTTTCCTTTTTGGATCCACAGAATTAAGAATTAGAGTCCCATTCATCGTGGGATGTTTAGTAGGTGGCCAGCAGCTAGTTTCTGCATATTATCATGTTTTAGCTGTCTGTATTGGCAGTGTATTTCCCTTCTGGTAATGAACGTCGTGACAGAGAAGTATAATTTATCCTTTTAGTTAATTACAGGTATTGCTGTGTACATTTGGAAAATCAGTCAATAAGTTTTCTGTTTGGAGAGCTGGATCGCTGGCCTGCAATTAAAATGGTGAATGTTAAGCAAGACAAAGAACAGAAGGTTGCTAAGCATTTTGTGGTGACCTTATGTGT